GAATGGAACCCAGGGCCTTGATCATGCTAGGTCTGCCACTGAGCCACACCCCCAGGCCCTCACTAGGGGACTCTAGGCAGGATTTTTACTGCTGAGTTGTCCTACCTAGCCCTGTTTACCTTTTATGGAGACCTCTAAGTTGCCCTGACAGGTGTTGACTCACTCAAGTCCAGAGCAGTTTTGAACTTTCCATTCTTTTGCCTCAGCCTCCTGAGTAGTTCTAATGACCGTCCTGTGCTACCACTCCTTGTTTTGTGCCTGCCTTAGGATCAGTGAGCAGCATTGGCTTGCCTGGTCACCGGGACCCCCTAGCTGTCACCACTCCCAGCCTGGGAGGAGGAGTTGAGGCCCCTTAGAGCCCTGGTGGTGACAGGAACCGTTGGTGGCATCCGGGCCATAACGCTTCTCTGGATTGGGGTGCTGCCTGCTGGGTTTCACAAGCCCAGGCAGGGGCAGGCCTGGGCTCTGTGCTTCCGCACAGCCTAGGCAGGAAGAACTGGTGGCTGATGTAAGCCTTTGCGCAAACCCCTGGCTATTGGCTTCCGGAGCCTTCTACCGGCCGTCTGCCACATCAAGAAGGAAGCCTAGGGTTTGGTAGGGCTCAGAGGCCCTACCTTCCCAGGCTTGGGCTACATGGATGTGCTGACCGGCTACAAGGGCCCTTGGGCCACAGGAGTTGGCGCTGGATTTTGGTGAGGGACTGGGCTTTAGTGATGGTGACTGAACATGGGCTCTGGTGACAGGCATGTGATCAGAGGGTGTGTGCGGTCTCTGGCTTCTGCTCTCAGTCAGTGTTCCCGTGTGTACCCCCAAGAGCCTGGGGCCATATTTTGGGAGCCTATTCCCCTAGGAAGGTGGGCGGTCAGTGGACACTTTGTATAGGGCTTACATGGGAGGGCTCTCAGGAACCCAGAAACCAGACCGCGAATGCATGTGGGTGGAGTCTGTGAGATTAGACCGGAGGGCCCCTGCCATCTGAGCCACACATCCTGTCTGCGTTGTCTGCACAGTGCCCACCTCTCAGGGACTAGAGAAGGCCCTTGAGGATGTATACAGAGCTCTCTGGAGACCAGCCAGGAAAGACCTGGTGGATGCTCGGTTAGAACGCTAGACCCAGCCATGTGTTCAGGGCTCCACACCCCCTCCTGCAGGTTGTCCTGGGGAGAGTTTGAATCACCCACGGAACATCTGGCCTATTTACTATTATTGTTCCTAAAACTGTCGTATCTGTTATATAATTCTTTTTAAATGTATGCCTCCTCCCTACCTTGTTTTTGTTTTGTAATTTTTTTTCTTTTTTTTTGGTGCTGTATACTAGGCAGGCACCCTGCACCCCTAGATTGAGTTTGGGTGTTTGTTTGTTTGTTTGTTTGTTTTAATACAGGGTCTCATCCTATAGCCCAGATTATCTGGAACTTGCTATGCACCTTATGCACCTTAGGCTGTCCTTGAATTGCAGCAGTCCTTCTGCCTCAGTTTCCCTGAGTGCTAGGATAACAGATACAAGGTATCATGATAGGTTCCACCTTTTTTAAACTTTTTTTTTTTTGAGATAGGCTCACCTCATAGTCCAGGCTAGCTTAGAACTTGCAGCCCTTTGGCCTCAGCTTCCGAAGGGTGGAATTATGCGTGTCAGCATTCCTGACTTCTGCTGTTTTCCTTTTCCTTTGTGATTTGTTCCACCTGTCAGGCTTGTCAGGCTGGGCTCTGAGATGTCCTGCTGGGTGTGCAGGCTTTTCCTTCCTGGACCTCAGTTTCCCCATCAGTTACATGGGCATATGCAGCCACTAGACACTCAGAGGCCCTTGTACATCTTGGGTAACCATGAGGCCCTTGGGGATATTGGTCTCTGGACGATGTCCTGTGCTGAGCTCAGAATATGAGCCCTTTCTCTGGGACCGTTGCCTCTCTTACTCTGTGGCCTGGGTAGTTCTTGGGGACCCCCTTCCATTCCTGACTCAGGCTTCCTTCCATCTGCAGCCAGGGTAGTAAAACCATTCTCTGGGGTGCTGGCCCTAGGGGGTGGGTGGAGGGAGTCTGGTCTTCTTTCTTGGTCACTATGGTGATTGGGCCCATAGGGTGTGTCTGTGGCTGGCCGAGGGACACCTCTTGACCTCTGGGGTAGTGAAGGCTTTCCACAGTGGAAGGCCTTGGGATGGTGGTCCAAGTGGCATAGCCTGGTTTACTGGCTGCCTGACGGGGACCCCCCCTCCATTTTCTCTGCAGGCGAGGCCTTTTTGGGCAGCTTGGTGTCCAGCGGGATGGGGCCCTCGGCCTCGTCTCAGGGGAGCCCGGTATCCTTGCCCTCTGACCTCTCCTTCCGCTCCCCCACCCCCAGCAACCTGCCCATGGTGCAGCTGTGGGCTGCCCATGCCCATGAAGGTAAGGAGTGGGCCAGATGGGAGGGGCTGAGGGCTGCTGGGCTGCTGTCTCCACAGTGATAGCAGTTTTATGTCCCCAGCACCATTCTCAACACCTCTCTCACCATGGCCTCCGTGTGTCCCCTCTAGCATTTTAGCGCTTATTTTGTTACCACAGGGCCTTTGCACTACCCGTTCATGCCTCTGCCTGCAGCCTCTCACCCCAGCCCACTGGCTCCTCCTCCTCTGCTGCTCAGTACTGTTCCCACTGATACGAGGTGGAAGACAAAAGCTTTACCTGTGTGGGTGTTCCCAGGTCATATGGCATGCGCCTTGAGAGCAGAGACTGGTATATATTCAGTGGAACACCTTCCTGCACACTTATTGCCACACACACACACACACACACACACACACATATATACTTGTGTGGGGAGCCTTGGCTCTAGATACTCTTGGCTTGACTTTTTTTTTTTTTTTTTGGCAATACTGAGGATTGGATGAACTTAAGACCTCCCTCCTCCACCTCTGTCTCTGGTGGATTTGGGGGTGTTGGTTTGTTGAGGTTAGGGTCCCCTTACATCTTGTGGACCCTTCGGGCTCACCTAGATAGAACCCAGGACATGGTAGCTCTGGGAGGCCCCTATTGCCTGCTTTTGACTGTCTGGGCCATTCCCTACTTTCTGGGGTTGGAGGCGGGATGAATGCCCACCAGCACTGGGTTATGGGCTGCTGTATTTTGCCCAGCTGTAGCTGGAGGTGTCACTGTCAGGCATAACAGTGGTATTTTCTGTACAGAGAAAGTCACTAAAGCCATTTTTCTCAGGCTTCAAAGGACGGCACCTGAATCCAGGAATAAGTATAAATGCTATGTGGCCTCTGCCGTGGGCTGGTGTTCCTGAGTTCCTCCCTGAGCTGAGCCGGGTGGGTGTTGAACAGGGGGCCCTAGGAGGGCAGGCTATCTCTCCTGTGTACATCGGTTCATTCCTCAGTTCTTCCCAAGATGCTGATAGCCACAGCAAACACACACCACTGACATGACCTGGTCCTGGGGCTGTGTTCTTAGGTCTCTTCCATCCTCTGCAGCTTCTGGGGCTGGGGCTGGGGCTGGGGCTGGGGCTGGGGCACCGGCACCCATCTTACGCATGACATGCCTGCAGAGGACCCGCTGCCTACAGCTGAGCATTGCTTTGCTGTTTAACTGTGACACTGTAGACTGGGCACCTGTTTTATTCTGTGACTTGCGTAGTGGGTGGGTTCTTTTGTCTTTTTTTTTTTTTCGAGATAGTCTTGCTAAGTAGTGTTGGTGTTGACCAGAATGGCCTTGAATTTGCAGCAATCCTTCTGCCTCTGCTTTTCAAGAATTAGAATTACATGTGTGAAGCCACCTCTCTGGACAACCTCTGTTTGTTTGTTTGTTTGTTTGTTTGTAGATGAAGAGTCTCACTGTCTAGCCCAGGCTGGCCTTAAACTCATAGTGATTCACCTGCCTCTGCCTCTGAAATGCTTGGATGGAAGGCATGTACCACTAGACTTTAGTTTTTATTTTGTAGCAGGTTCTCACTAAGTTGCCAAGGTTAGCCTTGAACTGTCTGCCCTCAGTCTCTCGGGTAGTCAGGATTACTGGTCTGTACCACCAGAGTGCAGCCTGTGTAGTATCTTTCAGGGGTCATGAAGACTCAAATTTAGGAGTTTGTGTCAGGTAAGAATCTGGAGTGCCACCCGTAGCTCTGGTGGTCTGTGTGTATCAGGTGATGGTGGAGAAAAGGACAGCAGTTCTCAGGGCCAGGGACAAGCCTCGTATCCCTGACCCCAGACAGACCTCAGATGAGGGCCAGGGACATTGTGTCCCTTGTTGCTGTCCAGTAGAACCCCAGTCCCTGGCTGTGCCTGGCCCCTAGTGCCCTGTTCTCATTTTCTGCTTGCCCCTGGGTGTCCGTGTTCCTTTGTCACCTGTGGCCACACCCCTTTTGAGGTCACACCACTCTCTCCCTTTGGACCTCGCTGTAAGACCCATTTTAGGGAACTCCTTGCAAGACTGGGCAGCTAGAGATGCTGACTTCAGTGTTCAGAGAAGGCAAGCAATCAGTTCTGAGGTACACAGCAGAGAGGAGGCCCATGAAATCTGTTCACCCAGAGTCCACAGTGTACGGAGGTTTCGTCTAAGCTGTAGGGTCCCATGACTTCAGTTTAAGGCCGGGTTTAGCTGCACTTTGATCTTATAGACAGTGATCTACTCTGAGTCTTTTGTTGTTGTTGGTTTTGTTTTGCTTTGCTTTTAATCTGTAAAATGAGAGGACAGGAGTGTCTGGTCTTCTCAGGATTGCTTTTGAGGTTTAAATGAGAATGGCTTTCCAGTCTCCTCTTGGTTAGGTCCATTCTGACTTTGATCCTGGAGTGGAGCGTTTGAACTTGTATCCAAGCCCATGTGGGTTTCCTGGGCCTCGTGGGAGGCTTGAAATGGCAGGGGTTTTGGGGGTGGGGGGGACAGTTGTTACCATGAGAACTGGTGTTAACCATTCAGCTTCTTGTACCAGGAGACTGACAGGCCACTGTGGCTTTTTCCAAGGAGAAGCAAATGTTAGGGGGACGTTTGTGGGTAAACATGAGTAGCTAGACCTCTCTGTCTTTTCTCCTTAGGCTTCTCGCACCTGCCCAGTGGGCTGTACCCATCCTACCTCCACCTAAACCACCTGGAGTCCCCCAGCAGCGGGAACCCCCTCCTCAGCCAGCTGGGTCAGCCCAGCATCTTCGATACCCAGAAAGGTAAGGGAGCAAGAAGTGGTGGGACCATTGTTAGGCAGGGTGGGGGTGGCAGAGCCGTTTCCTGGGGGTGTTTCTCTGGGGGTTCTCTTTGGGGTTCTAGGTATCTTGTATGCTATATTTACCTCTTTATTGGAGGGTCCCCAGGATGGAGCCCAAGGCCTTGCAGGTGCTAGGAAAGGGCTCTACCACTGAGCTGTGCCCTCCAGCCCCTGCACCAAGGTTTCCATTTATTTCTTTTATCGAGACAGGGTTTCTCTTTGTAAGCCAGGCTGTCCTGGAACTCACTATGTGGACCAGGGTGGCCTTGAACTGACAGAGATTCACCTGTCTTAGACTTCCAAGTGTTAGAATTAAAGATGTGCACTGTCATTCCTGACCCTCCATCAATATTTTCTTTTTTTTCCTTTCTTTTTTTTTTTTTTGCTTTTTGTTTTTCGAGTTAGGGTTTCTCTGTGTAGCCCTGGCTGTCCTAGAACTCACTCTGTTGACCAGGCTGGCCTCAAACTCAGAAATCCGCCTGCCTCTGCCTCCCAAGTGCTGGGATTAAAGGTGTGCGCCACCACCGCCCGGCCAATTATTAGTTTTAAAAAGAGTTAAGAAAATATTGATAGCCGGGCAGTGGTGGTACACGCCTTTAATCCCAGCACTTGGGAGGCAGAGGCAGGCGGATTTCTGAGTTCGAGGCCAGCCTGGTCTACAGAGTGAGTTCCAGGACAGCCAGAACTACACAGAGAAACCCTGGCTCAAAAAACCAAAAAATCAAATCAAAACAAAACAAAAAAACAAAAACAAAAACAAACCAAAAAAAACCTAATAATTGAATCATCTTCTTTCCTTCCTTCCTTCCAGCTTTGTGTATGTGTAGATCAGAGGACAGCTTTTGGAGTTCTCTCTCCACCACATAGGCTGGAGATCTAACTCAGGTCTTCAGGCTTGACAGCAGGCATTGTTACTGAGGTGTCATAGGTCTCTCCTTCTTCCTTCCTCTCCCTTCTCCTCCTTTAGTTCTTTCTCCCCATGCTTTCCCTCCCCCCCACCCCCAATCTGTGTTTCTCTCTTGCCTCATGTAATCTACAGTGGCCTAGACCTTGGCTCATATAGCTAAGGACGGCCTTAAACTTAACGTCCACCTGCTTTTACCTCCTGCATGCTAGGCCTCAAAACACCTTTTTGAGACTGTCTTAGGGTTTTCCTGCTGCAAACAGACACCATGACCAAGGCAAGTCTTATAAAGGACAACATTTAATTGGGGGCGGCTTACAGGTTTAGAGGTTCAGTCCATTATCAAGAAGGTGGGAACATGGCAGCATCCAGACAGGCATGGTGCAGGAGGAGCTGAGAGTTCTACATCTTCATCTGAAGGCTGCTAGTGGAAGACTGATTTCCAAGCAGCTAGGATGAAGGTCTTATAGCCCACGCGCACAGTGACACACCTACGCCAACAGGGCCATACCCTGGGCAGAGCATATACAAACCATCACAGAGACCCAGCCCCAAAGGCCCCTCACCTGTCTGTGAATTTCCCCACAGCCTTTTAATCAGCTCTGGATAGCTCTGAAAACGACTTTGGCCTTTCTTCCTTTATCAATGAGGAGACAGGGCTGTGAGGATAGGATGGTTAAAGCCTACTCACTTTCCAGCCATGCCTGGCTTCTCTCCTAAGGACCAGGGCCTGCACGTTCTCTCTCTGGGGTACAATGCACCCTTGGGTGAAGGGAGGGCGTTTCAGGGTTAGGGTAATGGTCCTGGCTCACTATGTCCCTTTCTCCCTAGATGGCTTCTACCTGCCCGCACCGGGGACCCTGCATGCCCACACGCCCTCATCCAGAACAACCAGTGGCCACTCCTCAGGCGGTCCAGCCAAAAGCTCGTCCCGGGAAGGTACAGGGAAGGATCGCTCAGGCCGTGGTGGAGACCCTCCTCCGTTGTTTGGCAAGAAAGACCCTCGGGCACGCGAGGAGGTGTCCGGGCCCCGAGGTGTGGTGGACTTGACCCAGGAGGCCCGATCGGAGGGCCGCCAGGACCGGGGATCCTCACGCCTGGCTGAGCGCCTATCTCCGTTTTTGGCAGAGGCCAAAGCCAAGGGTGTACTGCAGCCGTCGGCCTTGAGCTTGTGCAATGGTGTGGTGGATGCGGGACTGGTGGCCGAGCTGGGCCGAGGAGGTGCCAAGGAGGTAACCAGGCAGGAGGAGAATGCTCGGCTGCTGCGGCGAGCTGAGGCCCTGCTGCCCGCCGCAAGGCCCTGTGGGTCCCCACTACCACCGCCACCACCGCTGCCCCCCAAGGGTCCCCCTGCACCCCCTTCCTCGACACCAGCCGGTGTCTACACCGTGTTCCGTGAACCAGGCCGTGAGCACCGCGTGGTGGCACCCACCTTTGTGCCTTCTGTGGAGGCCTTTGATGAGCGTGTGGGACCCATCCAGATAGCATCCCAGGCTCGTGATGTCCGGGCCAGGGAGCGTGAGCCAGGCCGCCCTGGGGTCCTGCAAGGTCCACCTGGATCTCCACGACTGGAGCGACCAGAGGTTCTGCGGGAGAAAAGTTCGGTCATCCGCTCCCTCAAGCGTCCGCCTCCATCGGATGGACCTCCAGCAGCCCGCTCCTCCCGCTCCTCCCCGGATGCCCGAGCCTACCTGCCCCCTAAGGAACTACTCAAGCCCGAGGCTGATCCGAGGCCTTGCGAGCGCGCACCCCGAGGCCCGAGCACTTCTGCCGCCCAGCAGGCTGCTAAGCTCTTCGCCCTGGAACCCTCCCGACCACCGGGGCCGGAACACAAGTGGAAACCCTTTGAGCTGGGCAACTTCGCCACCACTCAGATGGCTGTCCTGGCAGCCCAGCACCACCATGCCAGCAGAGCCGAAGAGGAAGCAGCTGTTGCCACAGCATCCAAAAAGGCCTACCTGGACCCCGGGGGCGCAATGCCCCGTGCCTCGGCCACCTGCGGCAGGCCCGGTGCTGACCTCCACTCCGCAGCTCACGGACCCGGAGAGGCCTCCGCTATGCAGAGCCTCATCAAATACAGTGGTAGCTTTGCTCGGGAGGCGGTGGCAGTGCGCCCCGGTGGCTGCGGGAAGAAGAGCCCCTTTGGAGGCCTGGGCACCATGAAACCTGAACCTACACCCACGTCTTCGGCTCCCCCTAGAGCCCAGGCCCGACTCACACACCCCGGGGTCCCTACAGCTGGAGGGGGCCGGCAGCTGAAACGGGACCCGGAGAGACCTGAGAGTGCCAAGGCCTTTGGGCGAGAGGGCTCTGGTGCCCAGGGGGAAGCCGAAGTAAGACACCCGCCCGTTGGCATTGCCGTGGCTGTGGCCCGGCAGAAGGACAGCGGGAGCAGTAGCCGGCTGGGGCCTGGGCTGGTAGACCAGGAACGCTCTTTGTCACTGAACAATGTCAAAGGTAGGTGCTGCGTCCTGATACTGTTTTGGTGGTGGTGATGGTGGTGGTTTTAAAAATATAGGTTCTCATACACAAGACAGACAACTGCTCTGCTGTCCCACCCTTCCTTTGATTTTTTATTTATTTTATTCTTATATAGACTGTATATAGCTCACTTTGTAGCCAACAATGGTCTTGAACTTTTAATTCCTTTTCTCCATTTCCTGAGTGCTGGGTGCTGTGGTAAGAGTAAGTGCCCCACGACACCGGTCCCAGGACATGCATGCTGTGCAGGCAGGCATTCTAGCAAGTGTCCCACACCCCAGCCCCCCCCCCCCTTTCTCTTTGAGTTGCTATGTAGTCTAGATGGGTTTTGAACTTGCAGTCTTTCTCCTTAATAGTTGGGAATGAAACCAGGAACGGGTCCCACTCTTCTTAAACGTTAATACTTGGGTGTGGGTGTGGGGACAGGTGCTGTGTGCTAGTGTGGGTGGGGGGGTGTCAGAGGACCACCTTGGGTGTTTGTTCCGCGTGTTTGAGACAGGCTGTCTTATTATACTTCCATTGTGTGTGTGTTTGTGTGTGTGTGTCTGTGTCTGTGTATATGAGTGTGTATCTGTGTATGAGTGTGTGTCTGTGTGTCTGTGTGTGTATATGAGTGTGTATATGTGTATGAGTGTGTATATGTGTATGAGTGTGTCTGTCTGTGTATGCGTATATGTGTGTGTGTGTCTGTGTGTATTTGTGTATGTGTGTATGAGTGTGTGTCTGTGTGTGTGTCTCTCTCTCTCTCGCTCGCTCTCTGTCTCTGTCTCTGTCTGTCTCTGTCTCCATTAACGTACCACAGTGAACATGAGGAAGTCAGAAAACAAGTTGTAAGAAATGGCTCCTCTTCCACCATGTGGATTTTAGGGATGGAATCCAGGTCTTCAGGTTTGGCAGCAGGTGCCTTTACCCACCGAGTCACCTGAGTGGCCGGAGACAGTCTCTCTTGTTGGGGCTGCAGACACGAGCCTCTCTGGCCCAGGGTCTTTCATAGCCTCTCCACCTCATAGCTGGCCCTCCTTGGTTCTTTTGTTTGTTTGTTTGTTTGTTTGTTTTATTTTTTATTTTTTTGAGATAAAGTTCTCTGTGTAGCCCTGGCTGCCCTGGAACTCTCTCTATAGACCAGGCTAGCCTTGAAGTCACAGAAATCTGCCTGCCTCTGTCTCCCGAGTACTGGAATTAACAGCGTGTACCATACTGCCTGGCCCAATCCCTAATTCTTGGTTCTCCCTGCCTCTGGCTTCCTATTTTGTTTTGTTTTTTTAAAAGATGGGCTGTCACAGTGTGGTCCCGGCTAGCTTGGAACCTACTATGTAGACCAGGCTTGGCTTTGAACTCCCAGAAATTCACTTACCTCTGCCTCTGGAGTGCTGGGATTCCTGGCTGGTTTCTTAGTCTTTTCTCCCAAGCCTCCCTCCTCACACCCCGCCTTCTCAGCCGCTTGCCTGCTCCCCACTTGCCCATGGAGACTGCTATTGAAACTTTGATTGCCTCTCCCATTATCCACATAGACGCGTAGAGTGCAGGAGAGGAGAATGAAGAAAAAGACCATTATGTTTCCCCAGCACCCCAAACACTTTGCCGGCTCTCCCTGAATTCATTTTCCTGTGCAATTTGTGTCTACCTGCAGAGTGGCTAGCGCAGCTCAGCCTTGGTCGTACGCGGCGCTCCCGAGGCGCAGTGTGGGTTGTTTCTCCCGAGATGTCAGAGTCTCTACAAGTACCATTTTTTTTCTTTTTCTTTCTTTTTTTTTTTTTTTTATGGCCTTTAATATTCCGTGGAGAGCACACACCAGCAGGTACTGTAGTTAGGTCTCTGTTCCCCGGTGGGGCATTTTTAAGTTTTTGCCTGCTCTCTTTTGTGTGGAGAACGCTGTGTGGAATATATTCGCACGTAAGCACCTCTGTGCTGTTTGGAGTCGCTTTGTTCTGTCCTAGGGATTCCTAGGAATAGACCAACCTTAAACCTTCCATTCCGAGTCTTCCAGTGGAGAGAGAGCCAGGTGTTGACTCATTCAGTGCCTCTGGGGTCCAGTCAGTGTGGGGCCTGGAGCATAGTAGGTGCTGGGGTAGCCAGGTGAATGAATGAATGAATGAATGAATGCTTGTGAATGATAGAGACGGCTTCCTGACAGGCTTTGGTGAATCTTTTTTAACTGGAAAAAGAAAACCAACAACAAAAAAACCAAACAAACCCCCAAACCAAAACTGTCTGTGTATGTGTGACACAGGAGCCCACAGAGCTGAGAAAGGGAGCTCTCTTCCCTTTTACCTGCTGAACCGGTACAGCAGTTCCCTGGTTGCTGCTGCTGCTTTTGTAAAATGATTGTGTGTTATCAGTTTGTATGTGCGCACATGGGCGTGCATGTGCGCATGAGTGTATGAGCAGTGGACATGTGCTTGCCCTGTGCGGATAGGGAGGCCAGAGAGCGACTTCCTAAAGTTGAGTCTTTTCCTTCTGCTGGGTTCAGGGGATTAAATTCAGGCCATCAGGCTTGTGTGACAAGCAATTTTATCCACTGGATTATCTCAGCTTTTTTTTCCCCCCTTCCATTTTCCTGTCTATCTGTCTTGTTTGTGTGTGTGCCCGTGTGTGTGTGTGTGTGTGTGTGTTTGTGTGTGTGTGTGTGTGTGTGTGTGTGAGAGAGAGAGAGAGAGAGAGAGAAAGAGAGAAAGAGAGAGAGAGAGAGCGCTCCTGTGAGTATGTGAGCATTTGGGTGTCATGTGCATGTTTTAAGGTCAGAGGACAATCTTGGGTATCAGTCCTTGCCATCTATCTACCTTGTTTAAGGCGGGGCTTCTCGTTTGTTACTGTGCACCAGGCTGCCTGGTTCGTGGCTTTTGGGGGACTCCCCAGTGTATTTCATTGTAAGAGCTATGACATGGGACCCTTGCACTTGCACGGCAAGCACTGAATCTGTTGAGCCATCTCTCTGGCCTTTTTTTTTTTTTTCTTCTATTTTAAGACAAGGTCTTGTTATGGCCAAGGCTGAGCCCAAACTAGCCTCACCCTTGTGACCCTCCTGCCTCAGCCCCCCAAAGCTCCGGCATTGCAGGTCTCAGCTACCACACTGGGCTTGTTTCTTTTAATCCATAATGAGGTTGAGTCTTTCCCCAGAACTTGGTAAGTTGGCCTTGAGTCCTCATGTATTTTGGAGACCTGTCTTCAACATATTTATTGAGCCCTGTACTGTGTCCACTAAGGGCAGAGCCTGCTGCTGTGCCGAGGGCCTTGTGGGTCCAGGCATTGAAACTGCTCGGGTGTACCCTGGTGATGTCATGGCAGGCTGAGCGAAGGCTGGGAAAAGGTCATGTCCAGCTGGTCCTTGCTTGTGCAACATCTCAAGGCAGGTATTGTGTCATGTCACTAGCCTCCTGGACCACAGTTCAGGGCCACCTACAAAGAAAGGACGCTCCCTCACTGCAGTTTCCAGACTAGACACCCATAGAAGCACCAGGACCTTGTACACACATGTCTCCCGCCATCTCCGGGGTTCCTCCCCTCCCCAGCCTGCCTCCTGCTGCCTTCTGGGTTCCATGATCTTTGCAAGCTGCCACTTCTGTGGCCTCTCCTGGAATCATTGAAGTCCTATTTCCCGGACAACCTAGCAAGGCCAGGTGTTTTGTCTCACTCTGACCCATTTGTAAAGTCAGAGCAGGCTTCCGGACACACCCTGCCCCGGGGATAGAGTACTGTGCCTGGGTCTACCTCCTAGCACTGTTATTTCTGGAGATGGAGGATTCATTATGTAGTCTTGAGACCCTCCTGTCACTGCCGAAATTAAAGGCCTATGCTACCACACCCCCGTTTATATCGGCTTCTCTCTTTATCACCCAATGCTCCAGCTGGCCTATGACTGTTTTCCTGGTAGAACACTCCCCATCCCTGTGTTGACTGTGCCTGGATGTCCCCGTGACTCTACAGCGCCTGAGACTTTGGACTTTGAATCAGGATGTGCTCCTTGTCTGCCCTGCCTTTGAATTCACCCAGCCTGGAGGTCTAAGTGACTGGTGCTTCGTAGATGTTTGCTGACTGACTAAACGATCCTCTTGCTTTGGGCAAGGGATACCTAGCCAAGGAAGCCAGACTTCTGACGATGAGGGTTAGCGGCAGCACCTGATAATTCTGGGATGGAATGATAGGATCATCTAATCCAAATAGAGTTCTATGAGTGGTAGGGTATTCCTCTTGTGTGTAGGGTGGTTCATGATTTAGTGTCCAAAATACCTGTGCCTACAAGGATCATAAGTACGTGTGCAAAGAGGAGAGGATGTGGTTGAAGTTTGGGTTGAAGAAGTTGTTTGTTGTTATCTGATGCCTTTTTCCCTGTTGGGATTGAAAACCATTGTCTCCTGTATGCTACCTACTGGCTGTAATTTTGCCAGTATCCAGCCCCTCACTGGGGGATTCTAGGAAGGGGCTCTACCACTGAGCCACACCCCAGCCCCTCACTGGGGGATTCTAGGCAGTGGCTCTACCACTGAGCCACACCCCAGCCCCTCACTGGGGGATTCTAGGCAGGGGCTCTACCACTGAGCCACACCCC